TTTTGATGGAACTAACTCACATGTGCGTGACTTGCAGAGGAAAACCACAAAAACCTTCCATGGTTAGCGTAACGGCAAGGGAACTCTTAACCATGTCTACCACTGAGGATATTTTACGTAAGCACTTTGATCGATGCGAGCTGGGTGCGGAATTCGTAACGACCAACCGTCGAATGTATTCGAACCCGGGTGACCTCATTGGAAAGCGATTGCTCTAGACAAAATTGGCAAGATTGTATTTAAATTGACTTTTTTAGTTGTGACGTTAGTGTTAATTATGTTTGAACATGGTAATAAAATTTCATTTTATTAACATTTTGCCCAAGTTCATGAATATATATATATATATTAAATCGAATTTTATGCAATTAATAATGAGAACATTATTGCATTATTGTAACTCTGTTATTGCTCTTAATGCATACAATTTTAATTTCACAACTCAAGGAAAAATGAATAAAATATAATTATTCATTTATTACGGTTGCAGATAAAGTTTTTTATTTTTTTATTTTTAAAATTGAGATTTATTGAGAAAAGATGAAAAAGTGCTAAATGTGTTTGAACATGGTAATAAAATTTCATTTTATTAACATTTTGCCCAAGTTTATGAATATATATATATATATTAAATCGAATTTTATGCAATTAATAATGAGAACATTATTGCATTATTGTGACTCTGTTATTGCTCTTAATGCATACAATTTTAATTTCACAACTCAAAGAAAAATGAATAAAATATAATTATTCATTTATTACGGTTGCAGATAAAGTTTTTTATTTTTTTATTTTTAAAATTGAGATTTATAGGAAAAAGATGATCATTTTATAATCATAGTAGTTTTTTTTATGTCTTTGGAATTCAAACAACCTATTATCTATAATATTCAACCAAAACCACACATTTTTATGAGGAACAACAAAAAAGTAGTCAGTTACAATAAATTTTTTATGGTTATGTTAGTCGTTTTCAGCATTCATTCAATTTTTTTTCCAGTTTTATTCGTTCTAAAAACTTTTGATGCATAATTATTATTTAAGACTGAAGATAATGCATAAACATTTTGAGGGTAATTTGCAAGGATTGCAAGCGTAAAAATTTTACTGGATTTTAAGTTATTGCTTATTACATCTTATTTTTTGATATTAGTATGCTTACAAAAAAGATATAATGAAGAAACAAACACATACATGTCGTATACTCTCTCCCATTTATTTATTTATTTATTTTATTACTAATATGAAGTCAGTAAAAACAAATGAAAGAGTGTCATAGTTTAAATATACATAAAAATTATTATTATTATTTTTTTTACTGAATTTGCATTTGAGAAATAATAATAGCAGTATAATTTAAATGCTTTACTTTTAAAAGTAGCTTTCGTAGAAAAAATTTTAAAAAAATTGCAAAATATTTTAATTAGTAGAGTCAAATTTAAAAATAAAAAATAAGACGAATGACTTAAAATATTGAAAAAGTAAATAAATAAAGGACTAAAAAGTAGAAATCAAAATTATCAATAAACTTTTTATAAATACTGTTTATTATTATTTTATATTTCATGACACATAATACAGATACATTGCACATATTACACATATACTTTAAAAAAGGAAAAAAAATTTTTTTTTTAAACCTAGAATCAGTATATAAAATTAGATATAGCAAAAAAGNAATCAAAATTATCAATAAACTTTTTATAAATACTGTTTATTATTATTTTATATTTCATGACACATAATACAGATACATTGCACATATTACACATATACTTTAAAAAAGGAAAAAAAAAATTTTTTTTTTAAACCTAGAATCAGTATATAAAATTAGATTAAAAAAGTGGAGTAAAAATAGTAAAGATTCTTTTAAGGACTCCCTTTTACGATTTACGCTTTTGAAAATTTGATTATATATTTCCTCCTTTTCAAAAATTATTCTGTCAAAAGCTAGTTTCTCCTTTTCAATACGCTTGCAAACAGAAAATGTATTAAAAAACTTTTTAATTTGTTTTATTTGTTCAATACAAAATCGTAAATATTTCAAAACAAGCATTTTGCGCTATTTCAAATTTTTAAAAACAAATAATAAAGATGTGGGTTATTTTGGAACTAATTTGCAAAGCTTATCAAGGAGCGTAACACAATCTTATCTTAGGTACTGAGCATAAAAAATTGTTCTTTAAAAAATTCTCCAAAAAAAGTAGTTTGCTCCCGGGAATCCCCCCTTTTTTTTCTGTCTCCAGAAAAGAAAAAAGATTCTTTCAGCATTCTTCCCTTATTATTAGCGTGTCTTAAAGCTAGAGAAAGTGATACGCTTATGTTTGCTTAGCTAAAATATACTGAAACTAATGCTACGGGAAATTTGTGAATTCTGAAATTTTTACGCTTTGCAATCCAGTTTTTTCTTTTCTTCTTTGCTCAAATTATTTTTAAGGTAGTATTTCGTTCTTTTGTCACTTGAAAATTCTTTCTAAAGAAATGAATGCAACCGATTCATCTGAAGTTGTAGTTTCAAATTTCAAAATCATCAATTTTTTTTATTGCTTGATCCAAAAATATATACAGTGTTCTGAAATTTTTCTAAAATTCTGACACTCATTCTGTTAAAAAATTTTATTTTTTATTCACGATTTGCATTTTAAACGATTTGCAATTTAAAGATCTGTAAATCCTTGAAGAGATTATAGGTCCATAAGAATAAGTACCTATGAACTCCAGAATTTAGATAATCATTCTGTAAGAAACTTTACTTTTTATTCATGATTTACATTTCAAACGATTTAATATCTGTAAAACTTTGAAGAGAATATGTCCATAAAAATCAGTACCTATAGACGTCAGAATTCCGACGCTCATTCTGTAGAAAACATTAATTTTTTATTCATGATTTATATTTCAAAGAACTTAATATCTGTAAATCTTTGATGATAATATATATGCTCATAAAAATCACGTCAACTTTAACGTCAGAATTCCGACGCTCATTCTGCAGAAAACATTCATTTTTTTATTCGTGATTTATATTTCAAAGAATTTAATATCTGTACAACTTGGACGAGAATATATATGCCCATAAAAATCAGTACCTATTGACGCCGAAATTCTGACTCTCATTCTGTAGAAAACTTTTTTTTTATTCATGATCTGTAAAGAACATACATGAATAAATTGCTAGATCATCAACTTCTTTCTTATAGCTCATTTCTCACCAATCCACGTGGGCATTTTGTTATTGACACTAAAATCAATAGCTCATATCTAAAATCCGCTTCTTTCTTGGAAAGGATCAGGAAAAAACTGGAAAACGCCTCCCCAAAATAAGAAAAAGCGTAGGAAGTTATTTTGATGCATCGTTATTGATTGTTGAGTTCATGCTGTGTATTCCGGTATTCGTCGAAGCTTGCACCGGTTTCCGTTTTCCGATCTTTTGGAATAGTTAAAGCATGCTTGCACGTAACTCCTTTTTTTCCCTCTCTCGAATATGCCGGATTTTGAAATAGATCCAGTAATCGAATTTCAATATGCCAAATATTTCAAAACGAGCGTGAATTGTACACAGTGCGGTGAGGTAGCATTGTTGCTATAACTCTCACAAATTGCGTTTTTGAAATACAATGTGGAGTTTCATCTATTTTTTTTTTTAAATATTAAATAAAAACTTCATGTCTTTAAATAAAAATGCCAATAGAATTGAAATATCTACATGGATCTATAAATAATAAGTTTCCGGATTATTATAATTTTTTTCGATTTTTGTAAAATTATGGTGTTATTCTTGACTTAGGGTAGTATTATGTTGCCAATTTATATGTTGTTATACATGGAAAAAATTCTGGTAAAATTATTGTACTGTATGGTTATGAGATTTCCGAAAAAGCAATAACATAATTCTGGTAATAAAAACCCAATTATATTACAATATTTATTTTTAGAAAATCGGATAGGGCCTATTTGCCCCCCCCCCTTGTTTTTTGTTGCCTTATAATTCAAAAAATAACTTACTGAAAGTGTTGAGTATTTCTGACTTCATAAGTTAGTCCAATTTCAGTACTTATTTAATCATTTCTGTGTTAACTTTAGAGTAAAGTATATTTAGAACCTTATATCTGAAATGACAGGAAGAGCCAGAGTGTCCCTTTAGGTATTTTGGTAGGTATTCCATAATCCCAGTTAGGCTTGGATGTAAGATACCCCAGTTTCATTTTAAAAAAAAGAGTTTTTTAACATATCTCTACTTATTATTTTTAGAGAATTTGCCAATTTAAACCTCAATTAATTGCTAATTTTGTTTAAAAAAAGTGGAATAAATTAATATTAACGGAATGAAAACAAAATATTTAAAATGTCTTTTATATTGTTTTCGTTATAAACAAGAAAAACGTCCAAGTTATTTCCGAAATAGAATATAAGTTTTATATCGAAATAGAATAGAATAGAATAGAATAGTATTTATCGAAATAGAATAGAATATAAGTAAGTAAGAAAAACATTACTTTAGTAAGAATCCTACGTTAAGTATAAATAACTTACTCACTACGAACATCGAATTTATGAATACATTTTATTATTCTCCAACATTCCATAGAGTTTTTCTACAGTATATCATAGGGTTTTTTTTTAGATATAAATTATAAAGTTTTAATATCCTCTCTTTTTAACGTAGTAAATCACTTTAAATGTCTAAGCCCTCTTCATTGGTCATTTTTAACTCTAGTCTGAATACATTTATAAATGATTACTCCAAGCTACATGATTACTGCATTTATAAATGAAATAAATGATTACTCCTTGTTGTGGTTAACATGTTTTTCAACTGAGTGAAATTAATGAATGTAATCAATGATTTCCGTGTAACTTCCTAATGACTATTTCTGCATAAAAATTGCTTTTGAAAAACTTGTTATCTTTCTGTAGTTGAGAATATGAATGCATCTAAATTGATTTTTTTTCTCGGTGCCATATTTTTGTTATACATTTGTTTTGTTTCTTATTTGTAGTGAATGGGGGATGGTCTACTTGGAGCCCTTGGTCAGAATGCACTGCCCGGTGTGGTCGAGGATCTCAGCAAAGGTCGCGCTTATGCACGAACCCAGCACCGCTGAATGGTGGCCGACCTTGCTCTGGTGATGCTCTTCAAAAGACTGATTGCACTTCTCTTTGTCCCGGTAAGTTAATTTGTTTACTAATATCGTTTTCAGTGAAAATGTACTAATTTTTTTTATCAAGGCAGGAGTCGCCAAATTGGCAGTTTCAGATGAGACACATGACCTCTATTCCCTAACAAAGTTTAGGATAGTTTTTTCAAAAAATACGTTAAGACTTTTTTTTGTTTGTCTAAAAGTGAAAAAAGAATGATTAAGTTTATTAGTTTTAAGATACTGAAATCAAGTTTTAAATAAAATTTGTCTTATCCGATTAAAGTTAAATATTTAGGGCTTCTTACTTACTTTTTCAAGTTGGAATTGAGAGTTGGAATTCACACAGTTGGAATCGAGATCTAATAGAAAATAAACGAGAGAAAAATAACCGAATTACTGTTGTTCGAAAAAAAGTAAAATTATAAACTAAAATTAAATTATTTCTGTATTGCATTAATTGATAAATTTTTATTTTTACACTGTACTTTAAGAAGGCACCAAATGCTCAATTCAATTGAGATTCAGTTATATATTTTTTAAATCAAAATTTTTGAAAGAGGGATCATTTTTGTGAAGTAAAATGCCAGTAATTATATTACAATTCAAATAATTTCTTTTATACTTATACGATAATCAGTTTCATGCTATTAATTTTTAATAATTAAAATAAAACAAAAATTGAAATAGTAGTACAGTAAGAGATTTTAGTTCATGAAATATTTTTTTTAAAAATATATTTTAGTATGGTTATGAGTAATTTTTATAACAGTTAAAATGTTTTTAAGACAATTTAAAATATTTTTAAGCATTAAGTTTTTATCTCCAAAATTTTAGATCATTATTGCGTTTTAATATTATCTCCCTACACTACATACAAAATCTTTCCGATAATTTTTTAATTTATAAAAATCTTTTAATATGGATTAATTTTTATGCTATATTTAAAGAAAATAACAATTTAAAAAGTGTGTTTTTTACTACTTTTTCCCCCGTTATTAAACTTCTTCTTAAATCAATTAAATGTCATGAAATAATTAATTAGTTATCAATTAAATAACCATTACGATACCTTCAGATCGCAATTCTTTTAAACTATGATAGTTTTCAAATGAAAGCCATATTTTTTATCATACGTTTTTAAACAGTTACAACTTTAAAGGTAGTAATTATTACACCACAGTTGAATATAAGATCTAGTCAATACTGAATAAACCTAAATCTAATTTTCTGCCTCCATAATCAAACAATTCTCACAAAAAAATGGTGCTATGCCTGTCTATGACTTAGAAATATTAACGCTTAAACAATCAGGCTTCTCTTATAACAGTGTAATTACTGTGATGTTATTTCACAACCTGGACAACGGCTAGCATACCAAAATAAGCCACGTGACTTCTTTGGTGTTCAAGGTATGCATTTCATATGAGGTCGGGATAGATGCGCAAATTCCTCCGCACATCTGTCGGGGGGGGGGGAGGAAAGTGACGTTATTACCGGGATGTCATAATTATTATACATCTTTTTTTTCTGTTTAACCTCTGTATTTTTTACGTGAGGAAGTTTTCAGATGCTTTCTCATTTAATTTTTTTTATCTTCCTTTTTTTTATTTTTTTTTTTATAAAACTAAATTAATTATGAATTATATCAGTGGGAAAAAGTTGTGACATTTGGCTAAAATATTTCTAGTATTTTTTTAGTTTCTAAGCACATGACAACATTCGTATAGTTTTCTTACTTATAAATAAAGTATGTTACTAAATTAAGTTTTTCCTTCAGTAATTTCAAATAATAAATATTTTTATAACTCATTATTATTTTAATTTTGTTTATTTATAAGCTTTATAAATAATATCATATTCTATTTGTCATTAAATTTGATTCTCTAAATTAATATGTTTTATTTTCGAACATTAAACAGTTTTAGAATTTTTTATTTACTTTATTAAAAGAAATATTAGTGCTCAAAAATTACTTTTGCATGCTTTGCTTATCCTTCTCTAGAAGGACATTAAATGAATTTATACCTTATATAGGTATTTTTTTAAAATTTTGAACTTAAGTATCCAATCACTCTTAAAGTTTTCTTATCTTTTTCATTAGATGTAATGATTATTTTGTAACATTCTTAGAAAGTAAATTTTTTAATGAAATAAAAATATTCACTGAACTATTATTTTTTTAATATTTTAAATAAATTGTTTCTCATTATAATTCTAAGTTTTTATATTTAAATAATTTAAAAAAAATCATAATTTCTCAGGCATGATATTCGAATGTATAGTAATTATTACGTCAAAAATTCTTGAAATTCTTTTCTTTCGTTTATTATTTATATCAAAATATTTTTCTCTTTTATTTAAATTAAATATACCAAGCTAATTGAATACAATTAGTTATTATATATTGATTAAATTTATGTTAAGTTTTCCTGTGATTTTTGTGTTATTCTTTATTTTATTTCTAATCAAACATTTTCTTTTATTTCAAACTAAGGCTTCAGCTACTCTCAATAAAAATATTTAAAAATGAAATCATAATTAAATTATTTCAATGTTTATTTTTATTTAATTATTCAAAAATTAATATAAATTTAGCTTAATTTAAATATGTGCAAATAAATTACGATAAAATTTGAAGATTTCTATTAAGTTTATTAAGCTTATTATTTGTTTTTATTGAATTTTTCAAAATATTGAAACAATTATTTTCAATTGTGTTGAATTCCGTTATAGTTCAAAAAGTTACAATTTGAATTACGAAATTTTACTAAAATATTGTAGTGTAATTCACTAAAAGATTTTTTAAATTATTTTTTATTATCTAAAACATTTAACCTTTAATATGGTAGAATTCAAAGCTCTTACTTTTTAATTAATTTTAAATCTCTTTTATGTTATTATTATATCTGAATCTAAATTAGTTATTATAATAAAGGCAAAAAAAAAAATGTAGAGGAATACAATTGAATAATATGTATAATTAGCAAATAAAGACATTAATTTCACATGATATGTACCCAATGATTGCTTAAATTTCCGCTTTTTTTTCTCCTCATTTATTATTATTATTATTTTTTTTTTCATTTTCTCTTATTATCGAAATTTAATGTTCCAAGTAAACAGAAAACTTCAAATTTATATTCTTTTTTTAAATAGTTTTTGACTTCCAAGTTAAACGCAGTGATATTAATATCATTCTATTTATCAGTTAACATCAGCGATTATGATCCGAGTTCGAGTTATTAGAAGTAAACTCAGTTCCACAAAGAAAATATTAACGCCGTATCTCGTCGAAAATCACGGAAAATCCCGTGACATAAAGATTTTTTTACGCCTAAATTCCTTCACATAATACTGGATTTTTCAATGCTGTCGTCGAAAGCTAGAAAATAAAGCACAATTGTAGAGGACAGGGAGGGAATCTTTTGGTCTGATAACATCACCACCAGATGCCGCTGTCACCCATTTTTTTTTTCTCTCACTCTTCCTAGATTGGGACAAGCGATAAAAGTGGACAAGGTCGGGGGATGGGGTCATCATGCGGGGACGGAACTGTCAGTTTGCCAAGACGCTGAGTTCATCTTCCTTATCCGAATTCTAGATAAGGGATTTTCTAAGAAATTTTATCGGACGTGGATTAGAGCAGTTTTTTTTCTTTTCCTCACAGCATTTTTTCTTTCTGCCTCTCTTCCCCCCATTCGTCAATATTAGGTTCCATATTTTGCTTCAGCAATAACTATAATTTACCGTTGCATAAAATAATTCTAAGATAATTTTAAATTAATCTGGTTCTAATTACCAAAAAAAAAAATAATTATTGAGGCTTTAATATTTAACAATGCAAGGTTTCATTACTTTTTACATTTCCTTCAACATGAAAAACAACATTTTTATTGAGCAGATCAGCATAATAAAAAAAGTTGGAGCAGCTGTGAGTCAGGATATAGAGCGTTCGTCTCTCTATAAATTGACCCAGGTTCGAATCCCAACGGTGGCTAGTCGATGCAAATTCTGTTTCCGATTTCTGACATTGCAGACATAAAATATCCTCAGTAGTATGACCGTGAGAGGTTTTCGTGGTGTTCCGCACCATGTAACGCAAATGCTGGTTAGTTTCATTGAAAAGTCCTCCACGAAGTACAAAATTGTCCTAATGCTTCGTCCATGAGTTCCCTTGTCTTTTGGGTTGAGTTCAAAATTAAAGGGATACGAAGTTGAACAATGAAAAACGCAAACTCATAATTGGGTCGGCTGTTCAATGCCAGTAATAAAATAAAATAAAATGAAAGAAGTGAAATTTACTATTCTTCTGAGAAACAAGAGTAACTATTATTATGCGTCTCAAGTTACTACAGAAAATTCTTTTGAATGATGTAACATACCGATCAACCACATTCATGATTACATGTTAAACTATTTAACACATTATATAAGAGAGCAGCCTCAAAGCTGAATACTTTCTCAACACTCGTAGCTCATACTAGTGTAAGGGACACTCTTGAGACGTTATATCTGGTCGTCAAATTTTCACCTCGTGTCTTGCTGTAATTAAGAATTCTGTTTAGTACTTTCTTCCTTTTAAAGTATGCTGTCGGGTATAGAGGAATGATGCTTTGGGAAAATAGGGTAAAAGAGTTGGCGTCGTCTTATTTGCGTCTTAACGTCATTTCTAGAGAAAGGGAACATCGATTTCTCATTAGGGACTCCTTTTCCTCATCTTCTTTAAAGTCTGAGCTATTGGCCATTGAGTTGCATGCGCGCTTTGAATAACAATGTTGTATTTTCCCCTATGGATAGGGAAAACTGGAATCTGTTTAGCCAATTTTGGCGACTTTTTTTTCCTTCGTTTTGCTTACTGTCTTTTGTTGATATTTTCTGAATGGAAGGCGAAATTGTGCCAAATTTTCTTTTGGACTTTTGCTGCTACATCTGAAGTTTGTTCGATAACTCGAATATTATTCAAGGTTGACTGCGTTTTCTCTTTGTGAAGTTATTTTTATCTGACATTCAGAAAATTCTGAATAGAA